AAAAATAGATCATAACTAAATTTATGCTATTTTTAAGCTAAAATTGTTACACGAACTCTACAGTTTAAGGGATAAGAACTAAAATCAGGACCTTATATTAGTACTATATTATATTATATAAAAAAAAATAATTCTTAATACCCTAACTCTAATTCTAAAAATAATTAAAGGCGGTAATTTTACTAGTGATTAAATGTAGTTATTTTTAGAAAATATTAAAATTCACAAAATTATACTAATCAAATCTACCTTTATGTTGTATATAAACTTGTTTTATATATATAAAAATACATTATATTAATATAAGATAGATATGCTTAATTTGACACAGTTAAGTTCTATGAAGCATATCATGTGCCATGTCGATCAGAATTAGATGATTTTGGTACTATTCGATTTGTCACATCGAGATGAATCGAATGGTGCCAAAATTACCTAATTTCGATTATTCAATCACAGGATATTACTTTTTAAAAGTTTATCTAAAAACACAGTCTTATTTTAGCATGGTGCCTAATTCTGCATATTAAAGATTTCTAATATAATATTTTGTGAACTATCAGTTAGAATCATATGATTTTGGTACCATTCGATTCGTCTCGATGAGACGAATCAAATAGTACCAAAATCACATAATTCTAATCAATAGTTCATATGATATTGTTAGTACACCGAATTAGATACTGTGCCAATTAGACTTATCTATCTTATATTTAAGGATATTAGTTGAGCTAAATTTATCGACTGACTAAGCCGATTTTATAAAAATCAGCTAAGCCAGCTTAGCCGGCTAAATATTGAAATCATATGATTTACTAATTTGTATATAAATTATTATCAATCATGATCAAATTTTTAACAATTGAACAAACTCTATTTATTGGTTATACATATATGTATTTAAAAAAGTATATGAACAAAAATTGTATGCACACACTAATATAAGTTTTTTTAAAGTTTGCTAGATGTATTGGAATAGAACTTACCAAAGGACATATTCCTCTTAAACGGATACCAGATAAAACATTTAAACAATTAAAAATTCGTTCACGATTAATTTTTTATCTTTCATAACCTAATTCTATAATAAACTTATACTATAAATGTTTATAATTGGTGAGTTTTCTTTTAAAAACAATAAGTCATGAACCATATTAGGGTTTAATCGGTTATGTTTATCAGTTAGAACATTCCCAGCACTAGAAAATAGCCTTTTAGAAGGGACTAAAGTTGCAGGCATGGCAAGAAAAATTCTTGTCTGCTTAGCAAGAAGTGGTAATGTACCTTGATGTTCTCTCCACCAGCTTAAAGGGTTACAATTTTTATATAATAGATTTGTAAGCTTATACTTGGAGATTGGTGAAATAGAAAAGTATATTTGAAGTTCAGTATTAATAGGTGATGTTAATTCCATATTATTATTGTAAAATGAAAACATGTCAGTTATTGAACTAACTGTATTTGATATTCTTTCAACAGATAAAAGATTAATTCTTTCTCATAACTCATTAATTACTTCATTTCTTTTATCAGATGTTACACCTAATAGTAATTTAAAACGAGGGTCTAAAATTGTAGCAAGCCAACCGATTATATTAGAAACTTCTCAGCGATTTAATATTAATTCGTAAAGATATTTATGTGTTTTTATATCATCAAGATGCTTACAAAAACACTTTATAGTCAGATACACCATTCCTAATGTTGAATACTGGTTTTCACCTATATAAACAGATACACGTGCGAAGGGATAGAGAAGATCACATAATTCAATTAATCCTTGCCAATCTTCATCATTGATTATTTTTTCTTTTAAATTATTACCATCTGTTCTAACTATTCTATTAGAGTCTTTTACCAAATTCTCAGCTAATGCAATAATTGCTTCATGAAGATCTATAAGTTTTTGAGAAGAAGATATATAGAATTTCAATGTGTAGTAGTGTCACTTGAGATGGGTTTCAATATAGTATTAGACTCATTTGTTAAATTTGATACATATTTTTTTTTATTTAGTTCAACTTAAATTTTACAGAATCTAGGTCTATATTTATCATGATTAACAAGAAAATTATTTATTACTTTAGCTTTTTCAACTAAGGTAGTATATTTTTTTAATTCATTTGTTATTGCAAGATGAATTGTATATGCTACATACCCGAAGTGGATGCTTTCTAATTGTCTAATTGCCTTTATCATTAACACAGCATTATCAGTAGTTATTAAGAACAACTTATCTTCTATATTCCAATCTGTAAAAACTTTGCATAAAAAGTCTTCAATATGATCACCAATATGAAGATAATCGAAATTTTCTATTGTAATTAATACTTGATGCATTACAAAGTTTTCTGTGAGCCAATGGGCAGTCACTCCGATAAATGGAACATGAGAGTAAGATATACAGATATCATTGTTTCATTTATTAGTTTATTTAAATTTGATCGTGTATATACTATTGACTCTATAATCTTATTTTTTATCATATTAATACAGGGAGCTGCAAATCGTAAATTAATTTTATAACAGAAATCTTTGAAATGATCATGATTAAAACAGTCTAAAGGCATCATTGCCTCTGTTAACCAAGCTACCAATCGATAAGTAACACAATTTTGGTTTTCTTTAGAAAGTAGTTGAGTTGCTTCAAATATAGAATTAATTGTTGTTTGTATTTTAGTATTTTTATCTAAAAATACTATAGGAGCATCTAATTTCTGGTTTTTAAAAATTCTATATACAGTACACAAGTGTAAGGCAATATTGGTAACTGAAGTAAATGGTTGGAATATAGTTGTATATTTATCAATATTGTCATTATCATCATCGATTTCTACTTGGCAATATTTGAGCTTTGTAACTTTATCACATTTTGTGTATTTCCACACCCAGCTTTCATTTGATTTTTCTTTATAAATAGGCAATATATTTTTTCTTTTCGCAGGTATTTGTGAAGAATAAGATATAGTAGAAGATGAAGATGCATCTACTGAAGTTTTATATTGTTCAGGAACTATATCATTATTAAATTTCTCTGAATTAGAATCTTCGCTTTCAGTAACACCCTCATATGATATAAAACTATCTAGAGAGGTTTGCTTTTTTAATAATTGCGGTTGTTCTATTTGGAGAGTTTCATAATCAAAAAGCTCTATAATATCTGATAAGTTGGACATTGTAGTATGAGATAAATTAATTTAGGAGAAAATAAAAGTGAGAATAATTATATTTATATAAGGAAATAATATTTATTTAATGAAAAAGTATACAAAATATATAATTGGATCAAGTTTTACTTTGATATTTACTTTGATTAAAACTATGATAAATCTTATCAGTCAAGGAATATGTCACACTAAGTGATAAATTATAATAAAATTTATAATAAAAACATATAAATTTACTATAAACTTTAAGCTCAAGATCCTTTTAAAT